TTGGTATCTTAATGGGGATTGCATGGAATATATAGATTGCTTTGGGTAGTATGGACATTCTAAGATGTTGATTTTAACAATACATTAACACGGTATATTTTTCCATTTGTTTATGTCTTCTATCTCTTTTTTCAATTTCCTGTAGTTTTCGGAGTACAGGTCTATTACCTCCGTAGTTAAGTTTCTTCCTATGTATCTTAATATTTTTGTTGCAATGGTAGATATGATTGTTTGTTTGTCTTTCTGTGAGTTGATTATTGGTGTATAAAAAAGCCATAGATTTCTGGGTGTTAATTTTGTATCCTGCTACGTTGCTGCATGCATTTATTATATTTAGTAGTTTTTCACGAAGACTTGAGTGTTTTCCATGTACAATATTATATCATCTGCTAATAATGACAGTTTTACTTCTTCTTTTCCAATTTGGATGCCTTTCATTTCTTCTTCTTGTCTGATTGCTATGGCTAGCACTCCAGTATATCAAACAGGGGTGTTTAAGGTGGGCATTCCTGTCTTGTTCCTGTTCTTAGAGAAAATGATATTAGCTTTTGTTTGTTGAGTATGATGTTAGCTGTAGGTTTGTAATATATATAAGGCTTTTATTATGTTGAGGTAGACCCCTGTACCCTCACTTTGCTGAGAGTTTTTATTATCAAGAAAGGGTGTTGAATTTTTGTCAAATGCTTTTTCTGGGTCAATTAGTATGATTATGTGATTTTTCTCTTTCTGTTTGTTCATATGATATATCATATTTATTGATTTGCAGATATTGTATCTCATGCATTCATCCCCAGAATAAATCCCAATTGGTCATGCTGTATGATCTTTCTAATGTAATGCTGGATTCTATTTGCCAGAATTATGTTGAGGATTTTAGCATCTATGGGGGTCACTGTGACTACATTGGGAGATCTGCTGTGTAGGAGATACCCCTATGGAGCAGAACTGGCTTCAGTGGGGCTTTGGTGCTCAGTGAGTCTTCCCCTTGACTGTGGCGCTTATAGACTTGAAGTGTTGTAAGCTGGTATGGTATGAACCTGACCACTAGGTACACTGGCTCTTAAGTCTCCAAGGAGGTGTAAAGTCAGCCTCTACCTGGAGCCACTGAGCAGGATCTACAGAGAGATCTGCAGATTCTCCTCTTTGTATCGGGTTTGGAGGTGCCCCCAAGAAGCTCAGCTGTGAAGCAAGGAAGGCTAGTGCTGGTGCCACATCTTGGCCCTTTATTGATAGGCTTGGAACTCCCTGACCTAACTACAACTTGTTTGACAGGTTTTACTTGAGCAAGGACAGGCCATTCATATACCAAAGCTGCTGCACACAGCTTGGGTGAGGTTGTAAATTGGATAGGGTGAGGTCTCAGAGAATCACCAGGGCGGAGCAAACAGAAATGGTTGTCAGACAGACCTGAGACCTAGGATATCCCAGCATAGGTATAATGATCTCTGCGAGCACCTCAGTCTGGAAGAAAGCCGCCCTGAATTCCTGCCACTGCTGCCAGTCAGTCCAGTTTCTCCTCATCGGTGTTTTGATCCGACCCACGCCCCCAGGCTGGCCTGGCCCTGGAGGTCAGAAGAAGCCGGAGCTTGTAAGTTCAGTTTGTGCTGCTGGCATTGTAAGAGGAGCAGCTGGGTCTCCTGCAGCGTCTGTGTCATGCAGGCCCCGTCCGCACTGGTTTTTATAGCCTGTATTTCTTACTGCCAGTAGGGACATTTTTCCCCCACCTCTGGGACCCTCTGCTGTGTGTCTTGTGTTTTACTGGGACCCCTTGCTCCTCCAGGTGACCTCTGCAGAGACGACCTCCCTCCCAATTAAAAAAGTGGCCCACATCGGTACAGGACCAGCACCTTCCGAGCCTCTTTACCTCCTACCACTTATCTCGTCCTAAGGCTTCCATTCAGCCATCTTTCCAGCGGTTCTGGCTGATGGTTCTGTATTTTAGTTGTAATTTTGATGTGGTTGTGGGAGGCAGCGAGTATAGGCCTTTGCTACACCGCCATCTTGGATCTCCTTTCTGAAACTTTTCTGAACTCAATTTTTATTCTTCTTTTATCTTCATCTAAATAGTGGGAATATTTTTTGCAGTGATTTTTTTTTCCTTAGAGAGCGAGAGAGAAAGGGAGACTCAGAGAGAGGAGAGGCTGAGAGAGAGAGAGAAACATCGATTGGTTGCCTCCCACATGTGCCCCCACTAAGAGGGGTGATTGAACCTGAAACTCACCTACCTGCATCTTATTGGGAATCGAACTCATGGCTTTCCAGTGTACACGCAGGCACTCTCAGCACTGAGCGACACTGGCATGGCTATTTATTTTTTCTTTAATTAATTAATTTTTTAAATATATTTTATTGATTTCAGAGAGGAAAAGAAGGAGACAGCGATAGAACATGAATAATGAGAGAGAGTCATTGATCAGGTGCTTCCTGCACACCCCCACTGGACATTGGGCTGGAAACCTGTGCATGTCCCCTGACAAGGAATGGAATTGTGACTGCCTATGTTATGGGTCGATGCAATGCTCAATCACTGAGCCGTATTGGGCAGCCTTTATTTATTGATTTTAGAGACAGGAAGGGAGACAGAGAAAGAGTAGGAAACATTGATCTGCTGTTCTACCCATCTAAGCATTTATTAACTGTCCCCTACATGTGCCCTGATGGGGGATCAAACCCACAACCGTGGTGCATCAGGACCACACACTCGACAAGAGAGCTACCTGGTCAGGGCTCTAAATTTGTTTATTAATTTCAGAAGCTCATATGGGATCTTGACACATTTCTCTCTGGAGGGTAATCTTGGCTCCTATCATCAACATCTATCACGAAGCTTTGTGGTTCATAGTGTCACGTGTAATGTTTATCTTTCACTTCTTTCTTCATTTCTTTGAGGCTTATTTTTGTTTGTGTGTTTATTTGCTTTATTCTAGCTCAAGGTTTGCCAATTTTTTTATTTTTTAGAAAAGTACCTGTTAGGTGTTCTTTTATTTTGTCTTATGTCCCTTTTATTGATGCTTGTTCAAATATTTATAGTTTTATTCCTTTCCCACCTTTTGTTTTACTTTCTTGTTTTGTTTCTAGATTCCTGAGATGGCAGGTTAGGTTTCTTGAGATCTTTTTTCATAATATAGTCATGTATCCATATAAAATTTCCTCTTAGATTTGCATTTTCTGAATTTTTTACATGATTTTTGATAAGTTGTCTTCTTATTTACTTTGTCTCTAGACTTTTTTTTAACTTTTTAAAAAATATATTTTATTGACTTTTACAGAGAGGAAGGGAGAGGGACAGAGAGTCAGAAACATTGACCAGTTGCCTCCTGCACACACCCCACCGAGGATGTGCCCGCAACCAAGGTACATGCCCTTGAGTGGAATCTATCTAACCTGGGACCCTGGAGTCCACAGGCTGACGTTCCATCCACTGAGCCAAACAGGTCAGGGCTGTGTCTACACTTTTTTGAGTTCTGTTTTGTGTTTGGCTACCTTGATATTCTTTTCTATTTATTTACTATTGATTTCATATATAGTGGAAAAGAGATGGAAAGTGTGAGAGACAGAGAGCAAGAGAGAGAAACATCAGTGTGAGGGAGAAACATCATTCGGCTGAATTCGGCACACAAGCTAACTGGAAATGGAACCCACATGCTGATATATACCTTGTTTGGGAATTGAATCCTTGACCCTTTGGTACACAGGACGATGCTCCAACCAAATGAGTCATACTGGTCAAGGCATTCTGTGGTTTTTAAACACAAAAATTTCCAGTATTTTTTTTTGAAAAACAGACCATTATGGTCGGTGATAGCAGATGCACAGTGGTTGCTGGAGGTAACTCTGACCCTTTTTTTTTTTACTTTCTGTGTCTTCAAATATTTTTGTTCATGCAGTCTTTTCTAATCATCCTTTCTGTACAGTTCTCCTTTATTTGTGTCTGTAATACTATTTGTCTTCTTGGTACTCTTATTCCCATTTCCTATGGGGTCCTTGTTCATGGATCGCTGTCTACTTACAGTGGGATAGGGAAGATGCTCATATCTCTGATCCTGCCATCTTGCTGATGTCACTCATACAGATCTTTTGCCTGTGATCTCATTTGTCCTTTGTTGTTCTACCACAGTGTTGACCATAAAACTTTTCTGTTTTATTATAGTTTCCCATTCCTCACCCAGTTATGCTACTTTGTGTTTATTGTTGATACTTTGCCAACTACTCAGTTTTATTTATTTTATTTTATTTTATTATTTTTTTAAAATATATTTTATTGATTTTTCACAGAGAGGAAGGGAGAGAGAGAAAGTCAGAAATGTCGATGAGAGAGAAACATCGATCAGCCGCCTCCCGCACACCTCCCACTGGGGATGTGCCCACAACCCAGGTACATGCCCTTGACCGGAATCGAACCTGGGACCTTTCAGTCTGCAGGCCGACGCTCTATCCACTGAGCCAAACTGGTCTCGGCAACTACTCAGTTTTAATAGTGATCATTTCTACTCAGATTCCCAGCCCACGGATAACCTTCACCTCTCTGGACATTGCACCTCTGCCTATTTCACAGGTCTTTCTTTAATGCATACCAATGTGGGTCCATGCCTGCAGCACCTTATAGTGCAAACCTGTTATTATATTGACGTTCAACATCATGTGCTCTAATACAATTAATTTTTATGGCTTTGAGCCGCTTTAAATTATTCTACACAGACTCACATGGCCAGCATGTAAGGTCCTAAAGGAAACCGTTTGTGCAAGAACAATGAGTAGAGCTTTCCTCTCTTCTTTGTGTCCCATTGTGTGCTTCTGTCCCTCCCTTGTTGAGATTATCATCATTGACTGTCTTTTGGGGCCATGTTATGTATAACAGCATCTTCCTCAGAGTCTAACTCACTCATCTTGAAAATCTTTCTATGGCATCAGGCCTAGTCATGACAGCTAAACATTTGTGGTGAAAATATTCTAATTTTATCAGGTCAACATGTACTTCACCTTCATTTTCTTTTGTTCAGGTTGCTGTTGTGGAACAAAGAAAGTGGAGGCACTGACTGAACAGAAGGTTACTGTAAGAGTGTCACAGGCAAGGAATCCCAAGGTAGCCTTGTCTTCCCAGAAGAGCCATCCTTGTGACAGTTGTGGGCTAGTCTTGGGAAACATTTTCCACTGGATGGAGGGACAGGGCACCCAACACGGACAGATACCTTTGAGGTGTGGATCGTGTGCAAAATGGTTTTATTTCAGTGTAAAATTTCACCAGCAGCATGTTAGAGAGAAGACTTTCATTAGGGGTGTGGAAAGGAATTCACTTGCAAACAGCTGCAATTTCAATGTGTCCCAGAATCGTTTCACATGTGAGGAGGTTGGGCAGGGTGCACTTACAAGGGTAGGACATCTCCACCTAAAGGCTACTCAGACTGGGGACAGTCCAAATGCTATTTCGACACATGGGATGACATTTCAAAGAAGCACTGCCATTCATTTTCATCAGAGAGTTCACACAAGAGAAAAGCCTTATAAATGCAGTGAATGTGGGAAATCTTTTACCTGCAGCACTGCCCTTTGTCATCATAAGAGAGTTCACACTGGAGAAAATCCCTATAAATGCAGTGAATGTGGAAAGTCTTTTACGAGTAGCACTGGTCTCCAATATCATCAGGGAGTTCACACAGGAGAAAAACCTTATCAATGCAGTGAATGTGGGAAAACTTTTACCCGTAACTCTAGCCTTCGTAGTCATCAGAGACTTCATATTGGAGAAAAGCCTTATAAATGCAATGAATGTGGAAAATGTTTTACCACCAGCAAGTACCTTCGTAGTCATCAGAGACTTCATATTGGAGAAAAGCCTTATAAATGCAATGAATGTGGAAAATGTTTTACCACCAGCAAGTACCTTCGTAGTCATCAGAGACTTCATACTGGAGAAAAGCCTTATAAATGCAATGAATGTGGAAAATGTTTTACCACCAGCAAGTACCTTCGTAGTCATCAGAGACTTCATATTGGAGAAAAGCCTTATAAATGCAATGCTTCATTATCATAAGAGAGTTCATACAGGGGAAAAGCCTTATAAATGCAGGGAATGTGGAAAGTCTTTTCCAAATAAAAGTGATCTCCAAAATCATCAGAGAATTCACACAGGAGAAAAGCCTTTTCAATGCAGTGAATGTGGGAAATCGTTTTCCTGGAACAGTGTTCTTCGTCGTCATCAGAGAGTGCACACTGGAGAGAGGCCTTATCACTGCAATGATTGTGGGAAATCTTTTATCACTAGCACTGCACTTCATTCTCATCAGAGAGTTCACACTGGAGAAAGGCCTTATGAGTGCAGTGAATGTGGAAAATGTTTTTCCAGCAGCACCGATCTTCGTATTCATCAGAGAGTTCATACAGGAGAGAAGCCTTATAAATGCAATGAATGTGGAAGATGTTTTGCCACCAGCAAGTGCCTTCGTACTCATCAGAGAGTTCATACAGGGGAGAAGCCTTATAAATGCAATGAATGTGGAAAATGTTTTACCAGTAACTTTATCCTTCGTAATCATCAGAGACTTCATACTGGAGAAAAGCCTTATAAATGCAGTGAATGTGGAAAATGTTTTACCACCAGCAAGTACCTTCGTAGTCATCAGAGACTTCATACTGGAGAAAGCCGTTATAAGTGCAATTAATGTGAGATACCTCTCAGCCAAATTTGTAAATTCCCTCTGCAAGAAAGAGTCCAACTGTGAAAAATTTCTTAGATGTGTAGTAAATATAGTTTCTTAGTTAGGACTTAATAATTTTATAAGAAAATATGTGAACTCTGAGTCTGAATTATGTCTCATACCTTTAATCACCTACATTAGGTAAAGTCCTCCAACTGTTTTTGTTGTTGTGTTTGTTAGTATTTCTATTGGATCAATATGTATCTATGTTTCACTTTCAAACATACAGAGACATGTTACCAGGTGTATGTCACTGCATATTTGTGTTGCTGAAGGTATTTCACCTGAACCATGTATAAGGCCCCTACAGATGCCATCAATCACCATCCTGATGTGCCCAGGGAAGCTAAATCTCTTGTCTAATTTGATGAAGAAAATTAGGAATACCTCAGCCCTTAGTTCTTCAGTGTTTCCCTGTCATAAGTTGCCAAATAGGACTGAATACCGTTGGCCGCAGTGAACATAATGTTCCAGAAGAACTGCCATATTCAGGGACACACGTTCCCTAGATGCTAATGATGAATTTCTTGAGTACCCAAGTCATCAATGGAGAACTGCCAGTCTGAGGTCTCTGTCTTTGGAAAATACTGAAGGCTTTTTCCTAAGCCGCCTTTAATGTTGGGTGTTGTATTGATTCTATGGGTTAGTTTACAAGGAGATCATGGCTCTCCAAGTATGATGAGGTGAAAAACTTTTATGAGGTCTCAAACATTTTTGCCCTTGAGGGAAGTCTATGGTGCAGAAATTACCTCAGCAGTTTTTGCTAAATTTACATTGCTGCACATAATTTCCCAGTAAACACTGGATTCTCTGATCCTCATGTGAAGCTGGATGCTTTCAGACACAGAGATCACTCCACAGAGCGGGTAGCTGTGACAACCTCAATTATGTCTGGGAGCAGTGTGAATTTTTTTCTTGTTTTCAAGGGATGCTAAGACATTTGAAGGGATTCTTTTCCCCAGGTGTTGCAGAGGGCCATGTGCCCTAATGCCTTCAATAGCATGCGTGATGGTCACTTGGAGGACCATTGCAGTGAGGGGGACCCATTCACTGCAGAATCACTGACCTAATTCTTGTTGGACCAGACTGCAGCCCATTAGATGCAGTGATCTTCATCTAAACCTTCACCGAGAAATTTTTTGAGGAAAAGAATATAAGAGCGTGGATATACAGATCTGAGGGACTCCAGGCTTGTTTATCTTCTGTGGAGCAGTCATTGTCATTGATTATCATCAAGAGGTTTTATGGCTTCCTGTATCCTCTCAGATATTCCCACTAGAGCCATTGGTGCTCTGGCAGCAAAACTAAGAGTAAAACAAAGGCTGTCTTTAGGCCAGAAATGTGGCTTTTGTGACCCAGTCAACATTCTAGTGGGTTTGGGTGAAAGTTCTTCATTGTTGGTTACATTTTCTGTCACTGAGATGATACTCTTCCCCACAGGGCAGAAGAATGTATATTGAATATAGTCTTGAAAAATTTGTTGTTGCAAAATAGGTGAACATACATTGGTTTTATCTTGAACCATTTTTGAAAAGCTATAATGAGTAAATTGCATGAGTTAAGTATAGTGTTTCATAAATCTTCACATGTGCATGAAACTGAAACCATCATTATACTCATAATACCGACCATATCTGTGACTGTAGTTACTTCATGACCTTGTTTAATCTGTCCCTGTTTTTCACACCTTTCCTAGTAACCATGGATTTACATTCCATTTTAATAGAGAACTTTGCTTTTTCTAATTATTTTTCTTCTTTAATTTTTATTTCATTGATTCTTGGAGATTTTTTAAAGATATATTAGTAACTCATTTTTTTAAAAATATATTTTATTGATTTTTTACAGAGAGGAAGGGAGAGAGATAGAGTTAGAAACATCGATGAGAGAGAAACATCGATCAGCTCCCTCCTGCACATCTCCTACTGGGGATGTGCCCACAACCCAGGTACATGCACTTGACTGGAATCGAACTTGGGACCTTTCAGTCAGCAGGCCGACGCTCTATGCACTGAGCCAAACTGGTTTCGGCTTTTTTTTTTTTTTTGATAGATATTCTTTTTGTTGTTTTTAATCCTCACCTGAGGATTTTTTTCCATTGATTTTTTCGGAGAGTGGAAGAGAGAGGGAAAGACAGAAACATTGATGTGAAGAAAACACATCGATTGGTTGCCTCCTGCATCAGCCGTTACCAGGCTGGGAAGGAGTCTTTAACCAAGGTATGTGTCTTTGACTAGAATTGAACCAGGGACCCTTTAGTATGCAGGTCTATGCTCTATTCAGAGCCAAACCAGCTAGGGATTTGGTAGATATTCTTATCTTTGAATATATCATGATCATGTTGTCCATTTTAATAAATCCTTGCTTATTTCTAATAAAGCTGATACAAACATTTCTGTATAATTCTTTCTATGGATATAAGTGTTATTAACTTTTGTCAGTTGGACATCCCCGGAGGGCTCCCGGACTGCGAGAGGGCACATGCTGGCCTGAGGGATCCCCTTGAGTGCATGAATTTTGTTTACCAGGCCTCTAGCTTAGACATGTGAACCTGAAATTCACGGTCAGGGAGGATGCCTGTGCCCTAGCTGGATCCGCAGTGTGGAGCATACAGGAGGCAGCTGATCAATGATTCTTTCTCACCATTGATTTTCTCTCTCCCTCTCTGTCTCTTTTTAACTGCAGCCTCTCCCTGCAGAGATATTCCCAGGCAGGCACTTCTCACTCCCCAATGCCCACAAGCACGTTTGGGTGCATTTTAGTAAGAAATGGGACCTATGAGTAGCCCCCGACTCTGCTGCAGGGGGGCAGGTTCTGTGGGCACTCAGGTCTAATTGTGGTGGGCCCAACCTGGGAATCTTCAACACACTCGCTACAGCTCCCTGAGTCTCAGTTGGCTGAATGTGACATGCAGATGATCAATGGTGCTTACTCTGGCCTTCCAAGATCACTGAAAGTAACAAGGTACTTGTTGTCAAGGTTGCAGGGTTAGATTTTTGTGGATTTTTTTTCTTTTTTTTAAATGAAAATATTTTTATTGATTTAGCAGAGGACACGAGAGGGAGAGGAACATCAACGATGATTCATTGATCAACTGCCTCCTTGACGCCCCCTAATGGGGATCAAGCTCACAACCCGGACATATGCCCTTGATCGGAATTGAACCCAGGACACTTCAGTCCCCACGCCTACACTCTATCCACTGAGCCAAACTTGTTTGGGCAGATTTTTTAAAAAATATATATTTTATTAATATTTTACAGAGAGGAAGGGAGAGGAATAGAGAGTTAGAAACATCGATCAGCTGCCTCTTGCACACCCCCTGCTGGGGGTGTGCCCGCAACCAAGGTACATGCCCTTGACTGGAATCGAACCTGGGACCCTTCAGTCCACAGGCCATTGCTCTATCCACTGAGCCAAACCGGT